GTCATAGACCTAACCATGACATGAATGGCCTTAGGGCCTCACTCCTGGGTCCCCATGTAGCTCTCTCACTTTCTCTACTTTACCCCCCATTCACATACACACTCTCTCTCATTTTCCCAGACCCATTAGTCTCTATGCTGCCCGAGAATTCTGGTCTCATGGCCTTTCCATTTTCTGTTTCTTCTGCTACCTGAATTATTTCCCCACTCTCCCAACCCAACAGCGAAAGCAAAACAAGACCTAAAATGGCATTCTTCATCTTCTTATCTATACTCAAATGTCATGGTCCTTATAACTTCACATGCCCTATTCTTCTCCCTTGCTATCCTTACACCCACTAACATATGATATATTTTACTTAGCATTTCCCTCAACCGTCATCTAAGCTTCTGAAGTCAATGATTTTTATTTCTTTTGTTCCCTGCTATATCCCTCAGTACAGTGTAAAATTAATCACTACTGTTCTGCTTGGTATGTATATGAGATTTACATACATTATATCACTTGTGCGTTATATTTCCGATGGAAGGGGAGAACAGAGGAGAATGTAATCTCTGTTTTCTGATCTATAGAAAGAAGATAAAACCATAGATTTCTAAGGGTTTGATATAATGATGCCAAGTGTATAGTATAGTATAGTGTGTTAACCGTGGTATTTACTTAGTAAATAGTAGTTATTTTTAACATCATTCCTATCATCCCAACCCTTTGAGGTTAGTAGAACAGTTATTATCATTCTGTTTACAGATGAAGAAACTGAGACATAAATAGACTATGTGACTTAGCCCAGTTCCATGCCTACCTTGAAGAGTGAGGGCAAAGCTGACAGATGGACACCATGTACCCTTGTCATAAACATCTAGAGCTAGAAATTGACTGATCATACTGCTATAGGAAGCACTAACTCTGACCTGAAGCGCACCCCATTTTCTCCTAATCTCAGCTCCATCCCATCCAAAAGAAAAAGAAAGGACATCCCAACCCACACATACAGTTTATATCACTCCCTTCAAAATAGCTGCCCCTGGCTGATTCCTCAGGCCATGATCAAGTACTAGAAGATAAGACTTGGAATATCAGAGTGAGAGGGGGAAGGTCATAAGTCCCAGGGTCCTGAGTCTGCAGAAAGCATGTAGCTCTTTGTTCCACGAAGGGAATGACACTAGAACAGCCTTCAAAGGCAGAGGGCAGAAACCCCTTTCCAGAACTTATAGGCAGAAAGGTGTGAGTTCTACATGTAAATCCAGTTCATCGTTGTTGGCTTTTCTTCCCCTGAGTGCTTTCCTGTGATACTGACTGGCACCTATAACCTCAGGTAAGGCATAATAGTATGTCTTATCCATCAACAAAATGACTAACTCACTGACAACTTCTAAGCTATCATTTAACTTCAATTAAAGTTAATGCTCCCACTATTAATAATCTACTTATCTATGTATGTCAATAATGCTTATCGGCATTCAGCATCTGGGACATCTGATATTTGGCATGCTCTGATGGATTATTAATACTTGAGCACTAATAGTGAGCTATATACACACAAATGGCAGAAAATTAGACACAGATCTGCCAGTCTGGCAATTAGTCTATACCAAACTGTGTCAACAAACCATAATCAAAGTAAGCCATCTATTATGCTGCCTCATAAAGTGAGTAAAATAATGAGTTTCTTTGTTCTGTCCCTACTACCATCGTATCATCTAGAAGATCAGAGAGGCAGAGCATTGGGTTCAAGTCCAAAAATACATTTCCATTTGTGACCTAGTAGCATTCTACTTGTAACTTTAAAAGCCTAATTGTTCCATCTCTACAACTGATACATCCCCAAATATATCATGCAGGTGTGGTGTTTACAGTCATTTTTAAAGGTGCATTATGATTAGTTTATAAAGAAAAATCCCTGTTTCACCTGTGACACAAGATTAAGAATTGGCATCTATATCTAAAATCTAGCAAGTGTCATTTTGCTCAAAAACCACATTGAGTGGCCTATTGTTCAGTCAGTCAGTAAATACTTATTATGTGTTCTGTGCCAGGTAGCGAGCTCAGTGCTTGGAATACCAAAGGCCAATAAAAGAAGCATGGGCTCTTCTGGCCTGTGTGGGAGCTTGTTCCATGTGCCTGACATTTGCTTAACTGACTCACCCACGAGGGAGAATGACTAAGGGGGCAGAGAATCCAGGGTGCTGCCCTGTTCTGCTAAGACAAGAGCTTCCTCCGGTTACCATTTTCTCTGGCTGTTATAACCCTCAGAAGGCAAGATATAGAGCTGAGAGAGGTTGGACTCTAAAGGCATTCCTTACATATTTCTCCCTTCCCCAAAGCTTTTTTTTTTTTTTAGATTTGTCCAACATTACTTTTATCCCATAGTCAAGTTACTTGAGTCTCAAGAGAGTGGAAGGCTGTAGTGTACATATTGCATCATTCTCAGGGAGCACACTCCACCAGGAAATACTATATCCACCTGCAAATCGCATTCCAGAGAGTCCCTGGTGGAGGGTACAGTTACACAGGTCCAGGGAGGGATACTGTGTGTTTGTAGGATAAAGCTCAGTAACGAATTGGAGGAAGGGTATCAAAATCACCATCAGAATCAGATTCTTAGGTCTGCTTTTACAGGAAGTGTGATCAATTCAATTCTGAGAAGGCTGCTGCAACAGTAAAGTAGATGCCATATAGATGTTAAGGCATTGTGGAACAGACAGAAAGTCATTCATTCTTAATTCATCAATATCATTACCTTGATTTTCCTTTAGACAGAAAATTACTTAAATACATACATAAAAAAATACATATTCAAACTGACAAAACAACTGCATCCAGTTACACTGTTGTGTCTCTCACTGCCTAAGTACTTTCTTCCATTGATTTGTTTGCATTCAAATTACTGGGCCACTATGAGAGAACAACCTTCCTTATTTCCTTTTGTGAGAAAGCGGATGCTGACATTTCTAAAAGGAAATGCATTGTTAAACTTTGATCTATTGTCATTCCCTTCTGTTGTGTGGTGTTCTGCATTTATTTTTATAAATTGCCCCATAGAACTGTAGTCCAAAAGCAGTCTGCAAATTTTAAGGGGACCTGTAATGGGACTTAGAAAAAATAGGCATATTAAATTTTTTAAGCCTAAAAAATAAGTAGAGTGAAGAAATTTGTTGTATTTTTAACACATTAATTTTACTATTCATCTAGCTTAACACCATCTGTGTACATATTTGGTAATAAAGACAGGAAGATAAAAGGAGAAACCTTTTTATTGTTTTTCCATAGAAGAACTGGGGTACAGACCACGGATGTTGGGGAAAGATAGGTGAGAGGATTCACCAGGGACAGAGTGGGGAGCAGAACAGGCAGATTTACTGAAATACACTGCTGAGGGGAGCAGTAGGAGAGGCAGGAGAGGTCGGCTGTGCCATATGTGAATTAGCTCCCTGGCCAGGGATCAAATCTAGTACTTAGCAGTGATATTGCTAAGACTTAACCTGTAGGCCACCAGAGAGGTCAGAAGAAACATGTTGAATGAATGAGTTAACGATTATACTTTCTGTTCCATTTTAAGGACTACTTTTAAAACTTGACAACTACATGCTATTCCTGCCTGCGATCAGTAGGGATATTTAATGCCTAGTTTTTGTTTGTTTGTTTGTTTGTTTGTTTGTTTGTTTAAAGCATACTTGATATCAGAAATGCTCAAGAGAAAAGAAACTTCCATTCCAGACATACAAACTTAGGCCAGTGAGACAATTCTGTCATAGTGGAGCATTGTAGCAAATTGTATCTGGATTTCTCCAGTTGTGTTAAGATGATTATATGCAACTGAAATTACACCCATAAGCAAACTAGAATGCAGAACAGAGTTTGTAAATGTTCAAAGAGAAGGAGCACTACAGCTATGGCCAGCTCTGGTGTCCAGTGGTGTTCAAGGGCAATTGCTAGCAACATCAGGCAAGGTCGTTTAAGCAGTAGAGAATAAAGAAAGAATAAAAGCAGTATTCTTTGTCAGCTGTGATTTTTTTTTTTTAATGTCAATACTTATAATCATTTTGGAGTCATGATTATTTAATGCTTGCTAAATCCGAGACCAGTGCTAGGCAGCCTATGTACATAAATAAAGACCAAGTGCCAATGTTTTGAGCTTGTACATCGAAATTAGGCAAAGGAAGTGAAGGGCAAACAAGGGCGTGGGAAATGTGCACTGAGGGCTTGTTTAGAAAAAAATGAAGCGATTGGTTGTATTGTTATTTTACTTTTAACTGTCAGAAGGTCCATTATGTTGCAATACAAAAATGCAAAGGAGGAGGGCCAAAGGAGAAAAGCATGTTTCCTTTATGGGAGCTGAAGCAGGAAATCTTAATATGAAAAAGCACAGTCTATCGAGGACAGCTCAGGGAAATGGCAGAGAGAGAAACTTTGCTCTTGGACAGATTATGACACCGGCCAGGTAAAGATAATACAGATTCAGCTCAGAATAAAGTAAAACCATCCAGCCCCTGGAGGGGCATATCATAACTAGTCCTGGCTGTCTTCAGTGTTTTTCTCATATTGACATTTGACATACTACTTTATGTAAATACACCCTGGGATAAGTGCTGGTAAATGATTTAAAACAGAATTCAGTTCCACCTTAGGCTTATCTCACCTGCACGGAATGAATCTGTGTCATCACAGCTGTCTGTAAGAGTCCAGAGATAATTAAGTTAAAGACCAACATAAGCCCACAGCACTCCACCCAACCTGGCCAGATGCCTCACAGACAGGTCTACTGACACAGAAGTAAGAGGGTAACGTGACTGGATTAAGAGGACTTTATTACATTTCTGCAGGGGGAAGTTTACTTTTGGTGGAATCAGTAAACTCAGTATTAGGAGCGCATGTAAGGAGGTGATATAGGGATAGAGAGGGAAAATTTTTAAATCTAATATCAGACAGTCCTGAATTTCAAGTTTACAGTGATACACATTAACTTTGTAAATGCCCACCCATTTATCTTTATGGCAATTTCAAACACTTTCAAGATATGCTTCTATCCAGAACGATGGAACCTGTGAGAACAAAAGCACCATAGAATTTGCAGAACGTAGCACTCGGGGCCAGGCTTTCTCCTGGCAACGTACTACAGGAGCACTCAAGGAAGCACCTGTATAGTTCGCCTGCCTTGAGCATTGACACCCGAATACGTCAGAAGTCAGACGCAGTGAGCCCCATCTTTCCCAGGGTGAACCAATATTAAAGGATACTCCTCTTACTGGCCAAGATATTCCTTTGACTCTTTTAAACATATAAGATGGAAATAGGAGAAAATAAAAAATGCCATCTTTGACTCACATTCTCACTCAATCCCTGAGTTCAAACACTTACAAATGATGTGGGATTGTCCTTCCAATCCTCCTTATCCACGCCGTTGTGATAGGGGGAGTTCAAGGCATTTTTCCCCCCTGAACTTCTCTCCTGTGTCCAGTCTCCCCAAAATGTCTCCTAAGGGAAAACATGGGAATTTCACAGTATTCCTGGTGTTTCTCTGAGCATCATTTCAACCTCATTTATTTACTTACTTGTAGCTAACAGATATATTAGCTCTAGTAATCATTCATGAACCAGGCAGCCTCTCATCTAGAAATTGCAGCTCCTCAACACTGTTTTAAAAAGAACATTGACATGATGGAGAGCTGTTCCATGGAGTCATGCTGAAAGAAGGGTCACATGCTATGCAGGAGATGCACGCACTGCCAAGCAATCCCACCTCAGGGCCCTGTCAAGGTCCACCTCCCACCTCCAGTGGGCATACTGATCACCGGCCCTTCCCCCTGGCTCACAGCCCGCCTAGGCCCATGTACAGAATGATCTTTTGAAAGCAAATCTATCGTGTAATTCTAAAGCTTGAAGTCCTTCAGTCACTTTCAGATAATTACTCCATAAAGTATAAGCCCCACTGTCCAACAGTCAAAAGACCTAAGTGTTCTGACCCACAGATTGTTTCTCTCCACCTACTTTCTAGCCTCACAACTGCTATGCAGTGCAATTATTCCTAATAATTGAGCCTGGGAAGATTTTCCACAGTCTCTAGTTCCTTAATGCCTTTTGCATATGCACCTCCTGCCTAGAAATGTCTTCTCTGAGAGTCAGTCATCACATTCAGTTCCTTCAAGACTGTCCTAAATGAACACCGGAGAGGCAGAGAGTTCAAAACACTTGAGTTCTAGCCTAGATTTCGTCTTGCCATATACCAACTACTTGTCCAGAGGTAACTCACATTCTTCCTGTGAGCCTTGGGTTTATTCAGATTGGACACACTATTATCTATTCCAAGAGATGCAGCTGGAAAGGGGGTTTGTGGCAATGACAAAAATATTCTAGCTGGGTAGACTTGCTGAACTGTTTTTCCCAAGACTGAAAAATGCTGTGGCAATACCTTAAAAAGGAAAAATGGAAGTAACATATGAGCCAGCAATACCACTGCTAGGTATTTACCCAGAGAATAGGAAAATTCTAATATGAAAAGACTTAGGCACTCCTATTTGTATAGCAGCACTATCCACAATAGTCAAGTCATGGAACTTACATTGCTAAGGGCCCAGTGACAGCAACTAGGTAAAAATTTGTGGCACATATACTCAGAATACTACTCAGCTTATAAAAAAAAAAAAAAAAGATGAAGTCGTGCTCTTGGAGACAAAAATGAATGGATCTTGAGGTGATCATGCTAAGTGCAATAAGTCAGAAAGCGGAAAACATATACTGATGGCTTCACCTATGTGTGGAATAACCAAAGAAAACAAACTGGTAAAGAACAGCAAAAATAATTCTTAGAGTTATGCGTGTTTGTGTGCAGGTGTGTATAAACACACATCTATTTATCTAAAATGCGACTAAAATTATCTTGAATATGTAGAATTCTTTGTTAATTCTGATAATGCAAATATATTTGCATTATATTTGTCTTCCAAATATCTTATAGACAACAAAAAATATATTTAGCTCCACGTAATATCAGCTGTGTTCCTTCCATACTTGCTTTCTAATTTTAGGGATTATGTGGTATTTTCTTCTAAGAGAAAAGTTGAAAAATAGTACATATTATACCACATTTTGGTCACATTTGCATTCTTTCTCTCTCTCTACATATGTACACACACAGTTAACACACACTTTTTTGCTGAGCAGTTTGCAAGACACAAACATCATGACACTAGACCCCTAAATAGCATGTACTTCCTACTGCTGAGAACCTTTCCTACATAACCACAATCCTAGTATAATTCCTAAGAAATTCAAGAAAATCTAAAATTTCACACAGTCACACAATTGTCCTTAAAATGCCTTTTATTAAAATACCTTTTATTATCATTGATTCCAATTGGGGTTATGTATTTGATTTAGTTTCCTTTCACTTTGTTTTTGTTTGTTTTGTGTGTGTATATAGATGAACTGGGTTGTAGGCCAGATACAATGGGGTGAGAAGACTCACCAGGGAAGTGTGGGGTGCAGGACAGGCAGATCTACTGAAATACACTGCTAAGGGGAGCAGCGGGCAAGATAGGAGAGGTCTCTGAGTCATGTAGGTCAGCTGCCTGGCCAGGACTGAATTCATGTGCAGTAGCTGCAGTTAACTTGATAGTGGTGGGAGACTTTAACCCCTGCACCACAGGGGGCCCCTCCTTTCACTTTTAAAGGAAGACCAAAGGAGTAGCTGTGGATTCATCAGCTAACAGAGAAATTCAGAATATCATCCTATTGAGATTTATACCAGGACTGCCAACAAATTGGAGACATTCAGAGGTGTGTCCACTATTAAGGAGTTAGTTATCAAACAGACAGGCTGGCCAAGTATTTAAGACACCAACATGGAGGAATTCTTTTTTAAAAGATCTTGAAAGGATTCAAAAGAAATGAAGGAGAAAAAAAATGAAAGGTTCAGAGAAAGTGAAGAAAGGAAAATGCAGTAACATGCTCATTAAAAGGAAATTCAGAATTTGTTGGAGTGTATCTTACAAGTCAGTATTGTAAGATGTAAGGTGGGAGAACCACGATTTTTTTCAGTGCTTAACATTTCTGTCTCCAGGTCCGCTGTGTGACAGGGGACCATAGGATTGCCCTACAAGACTTAGGGACATTCACCTAAGCAGGAACAGCTGTGTGCAGTATTTATGCTATGAGTCATCTTTTCTCCTTCAAAACTCGGGAAGGGTAAGATGTCAGCCCCAGATTGTCTAATTATTTTTTTAACTAAATTTTTTTTAATATAACCAGAAGGTTGTTTATTGCCTTCTAGTAATGCAGGATGATGGCAATCCTGTTGAACACTCAGGGGCCAATCATTGTCCTGGTTTGTTTGAGGAAGTGTCATAACATAAGATATATTTGGTAGCTTTGCCTACATATTAAACTAAATGGCTGCCCTAGTCTCTAACTCCTTGACTAACTTTCTCCTCTAAGTATGTCTACTTATTTCACACAAATAATCATTCTCATTTGTATTCTTAAATTTGCCAATAGCTTATTCATAAAATACCACATGTAGGCAGAACCTAGTTCTTAGTTTTTCAACCAAGCAGCTTCAACCATTTTCTTAAATCAAAATACCATAGTAACATTGACTGACTCACTTGTAACTGTATAGTTTAACCGGGAATGTTGTCATCCCCTGTGGTTCCAGAAGCACTTTAAAAAGTAATGGAAATTACAATGCACTCTGGAGAGATTTATGAGAATATTAATTAAAATCAACTTGTCCTAGTTTTCACAGTCTCCAGAATTGAGAAAGATGATGAATGTGCAAACTGACATGTTTTCAAAATATGACTGCTCTTTAAAGCTATGGTTTTAACAAAATCTAATGAATCTTCACAAGAGTTAATTTCCAATGGAACAGAGCATTTTTAGCTGAAAAATTACATAATAATTTATACTTACGATACATGAGGGGCTCGGCTGAATTAATGAAATATGAAGAAAGAAGACAATTTCTGAGAAATTTGTAGCACTTTCTCTCCCAAAGCATGGCCTACTCATAAGTTTTACTTTGATATGCATTCACAATACATAATATGTATTAACATTGACAAGAGTTAAGTACACAATTGAAAGGAGAAAATTGCACCATTTTGCATCTATCATGCAGATGATTAATAAATACCTAAAAACTACATTTGAATAGAGCTATAAATTGAACTTAAAATACTAGGAGGCAAGAAGTTAAGCTCTGATTATGCTGTCAGATACTAGACAAACTGAAGGTGTGTGGGTAGGGAGATCACAATTCAACTTCACAAGCTGCAAGCTACTGATCTGAATCAATCATAGCCAGAATTGTTTCTGCAACTTAGTCTTCTTGTTATGATTAGATTAATTATATTTATACAAATGTAATTTAAATTTTTCTAGCATTGTAAAATTTGTTTTAAATTGAAGTTTGTTTAAAGTTTATTTGAAAAGGTTTCTTTGAAGATTATGCCTCAGCACTCTCAACTTGTCACCAAATACCTTTTTTTTTTTTTTAAAGATTTATTTATTTGTGCATACAGAACTGGGGGACAGGCCAGAGGCCCAGGGGCGGCGAGAGGCTTCACCAGAGTGAGGAGCAGAACAGGCAGATCGAAGAAGTACACTGCTGAGGGGAGCAGCTGGTGGGTCAGGACAGGTCTGCCGCACCATGTGGTCATCTCCGGGGCAGGCGGGAATCGAACTCATGCGGAAGTGGCTTTAGCTTCTCAGTGCTGTGCCTCAACCCACTGTGCCACCAGGGAGGGCCCAAATACCATTCTTAACTTCCTTCCCCAGGCTTCAATCCTTCTATCATTGCCAAGCTCTGACTTGCTTAAACCCCCCCACCTCTTAGACCCCCAAGTCAACCACCATACATACACAGTCAATTGTCTGATTTTGATTACCCTCCATTCTGATTGATTTTTCTTCATTTTTCTCCCTGAATTAGAGTTGATGTACAACTTTTACAGAAAACCTGCTACATTAAATGGCAAAGTCCTAGAAGTGGATAGGAAAATCAAGGTCCTAGTATTTTTACATCTAGAATTCTAGGTGTTTCTTTTCAGCCATTTCACTTCCAGGGTTGACTATAAGTAAATAAGAGAGTTAATTTGCAGCATTGTTTCTAATAAGTGGTAACAACCTAAATATTCAACAAAAAATGGTTTATGAAAAAAACTGCTAGTGTAATACAAAGAGAATACGATGCAGCTGTGAAAATTACATTTTCAAGATTATTTAGTAACATAATTGTATGTTCATCTTTTATTTGCTTGAGGGAAAAAATGTAAACTGCAAGCCCAAGTTTAAAATGACACCCCATTTTTTTTTTTAGAAAGCATAAACATAGATAATATAGACATAGAAATAGACAGGAATGGGGTAGGCATGAGTATACTTCCTAATATTCAAAATGATGACAATAGGCATCTCTGCTTTCTTTGTCTCAAGTCCTCTTATTTGCATTTCCTAATTCTTTAAGTGAATTACTTTTATAAACAAGGAAAGACTGATACATCAAAAATCACATGTGTATATATGTAAGTAAATATGTGCATGTGTTTATAACTGAATTTCAATCCGATAGTAGCTCTTTCAGGTCTGTGGAATTTCCCTCATTGCTCTTTATCTACCTTTGTTTTTCAACTTCACTCTCCTTTCATGGTTAGTCACTTGTCACAACTGGCTGCCCATTTATGAATTAGTTCAAGGACAAATTAAGTTTTGTTGCGAGTGTATCAGTTGCACAAATACACATATCATCTGTAGGCTGCAAGCTCCCGGTGGTCCAAGGTAAAGCCTATAAAATATCTTTGTATATTAAGATGGGGAAATAGACAACTGATAGTTTCTTCTCTGATAAAATGAAAAATGATGGAACAAAGCAAAAAAGAAATCTGAAACTGTAGGTGAGGCTTAAATGCTAGGAAGGGTGCGTAGGCAACATTAGTAAAAGTACAAAGTGCTGCTGTTCCAATTTTAAAAAGAAAATTTCTCATTATTCTATTACCAAACAAAAGGAAAATACAAATATTTTTGTGTAGAAAAAAACAAAACAAAAGGTAATCAGAGGTGAAAATTGGTATTTTGTGGCAATTTTTAAGCACATACTTACATAGAATAATTAAAGCAGCACCTAAAATGAAATTCAGCATTCCAAATATTATCTTAAATTCATAGTTGAGTTCTGATTTGTACAACCAACCAATTTACCAACCAAACTGCAACCAAAATCCCGTCCTCTTAAATAGAATCAATGTTTTAATGTGTCTAGTTGATTTTTAGATGACAAATTAGTTTATCAATTAGAAATATTGATGTAATAAGGAGATCGTGTTTGATTTGTGTTATGATGGGCATTATCGCCATTAAGAAATCGAGAATTTTTCCTTTTTAATTTCAATGTTTTTTTCTTTTTTGATATCT